GCACTGACTCCGATTAATAATTATTTTGTAAAAATATGAATCATAAGACAGGTACAGGGTGGTCGAAACCAAAGTTTGCAAACATTTTGTTGCACTCTGTACCAGGATCAGCTGTTGTGGACAACAACAACAATGCGTCATAGATTTACATATGTTTTAAAAACTTGTACCTCAAATCAACCGTATTAGGTAAGATAAGAAAAACATGCCGTTCTCAGAAATTGTGAGTGGATTATCAACAAATCCATATTTCGGAGCAGGCTTTGGTCTATTTGGAATAGGTGCTGGTGCAGCCATTTTGCGGAAAGGTCTGCAAGGGGCTATAATTTTATTTCGTCGACATATGATGATTACATTGGAAGTACCCTGCCGAGATAAATCTTATCAATGGTTGCTGCAATGGATTACTGTGCGAGGAGCAAGAGAGACGCAACATCTCAGCGTCGAGACATCATTTGTGCAAAAAGAAACTGGCCAAATACGTACAAAGTATGACTTTATTCCCAGTATTGGAAAGCATTTAATGCGTTATCAGGGCATTTGGATACAGGTTGAACGTTCACGAGAGCAGCACACATTGGACTTACATATGGGTGTACCATGGGAGAGTGTTACTTTAACATCATTTGGTCGTAATAAACAATTGTATTTCGATATACTTGAAGAGGCCCGTTTACTTGCCTTGGAAGCAACCGAAGGTAAAACTCTTATGTACACCGCTATGGGTTCCGAATGGCGACAATTTGGTCATCCCCGACGCAGACGGCCATTATCGTCTGTGGTGCTCGCGAAGGGTGTTGCAGAGCGTATTGTCACTGACTGTAAAGAGTTCATCGGCAATTCTCAATGGTATATAGATCGGGGCATACCTTATCGACGCGGCTATTTGCTGTATGGACCACCAGGTTGTGGAAAATCTAGTTTTATTACAGCTTTAGCAGGTGAACTTGAATATGGTATCTGCTTGTTGAATTTATCAGAGCGTGGACTAACAGATGATCGTTTAAATCATCTTTTGAATGTCGCGCCAGAACAATCAATTATATTGTTGGAGGATGTGGATGCCGCCTTTGCTTCACGTGAAGATGTCAAGCAACAAGCAGCTGCATATGAAGGACTCAATCGCATAACATTTAGTGGTTTACTAAACTGTCTGGATGGTGTTGCTTCAACCGAAGCGCGTATTGTATTTATGACAACAAATTATTTAGAACGTTTAGACCCAGCACTTATACGACCTGGTCGTGTTGACGTAAAGGAATTTGTCGGTCATTGCGATGCATACCAACTGGAGGAAATGTTTTTGCGTTTCTATGGCAAGCAAGAAAAGCTGCCACGTAAGGTTGCGATAGAATTCGCAAAATGTGTATTAGCTGATGGTCGAAAAGCCAGTCCCGCACAAGTTCAAGGCTATTTTATGCGTCACAAAACTGCCACATCAAGTGAGGTGCTTTCACATACGGCCGAAATATGGGAAGGTAGTTTATCTACAACACTGCAAAAGGAACCAATCACATTGCAAGCCACGGCAGCGTAGTTAAATATTATAGAAATAAAAAATAATTTTCTAGTTGTAATAAATTAATGAAGATCGAGTACACACGATATTATTGTGAAAAAAGACTAATTATATTACTATTTACGCTTTAAACGTAATAGACTATAGATTTTTTCTTTATTTCATCCTAACGATAAAATTTGATTATTACTTAAAACTTATTTACAAAAAAAACTCTGAAGAGATATGGGCAAATGTATAGATCGTTCTTCTCTGCGAGTGCGTAATTTTTATATAACTATGATTTGAGATAAAATATGTCATGTTTCCGTGGACATAACTTCTGCTTCAGAAACTTCCACATTAACAGGACTATCAGTGCATTCTTGTACTTTTGTACGTATGTCCGAGCGACACATAGGGCAAAACTTCAGTTGTTCTGTACAGGTGACACAAAACCCTCTGTGAATATATTAAAATTTCATTCATAACAATTTTGAATGGTATATGTAAATATATATGTATATACATTAATATACTTTACCTATGCGCGCAAGGCTCCAACCTCATGGTAGCCTTTTTGTCAAAGCATAGTGTACAGGAATCATCACGTACACTTACTTTTCGTAACATATCAAGATAAATATGCCGCGGCAAAATTATCTGTAGTATAAGGAATTCAATAGAATTGAATTAGTAGAGATATTTTTCGAAATATTTATTAATAAATTTACCTTCTCAGTTGAACTCAGCTTTCCACATTCATTGAAATTGTGAAATGCTCTTAGTGGTGGATATCGAAATGGTTCCAGTCCAAAATTAAATCTACATTGTTGAAAGGACATAAAACTTGCTGCCGCAAAAAATCCTTCCCTAAAATATTAAAATTTTCATATTCGGATATGTAAAGTAGTTATGTGGTATACGTACTTAACGTTATTGAATATGTGTCTATAAGGATCAGTCGATTCTCCATCGAGAGTAAAAATAACTTCCTGTTTGTCTAAATCAAGTAAACAACCAAGAATCGAGCCACTTTTCCATGTTGGCAAACTGTGTGGAATTGACTTGGCATTATGCCATATAATACGCCTGCAACCATCAAATCCAATAGAGTATTTGTCATCACCTATACCATAACCATCGTCACTTAGAAAACTCGATTCTTTTGTTGCCCAACCAATTTGCATCACACCCGGTGTTATTAGGAGGACTTCATAATACCAACATCCTTTGGTTATCTACGGCATACAATTAAAATTAGTAAAATTCGAATTATGTTAATTCTCACTTAAAATTCTAAGGATTATTACCTGGAATGTGCAGCGGACACTTTCAAATGTGTAAGCATCACAGCGCGCTTCTAAACCATCTGGTGATATTTTCAAATATTCACTTACATCCTTCGTATTAAGCATAGCGTTAATATTGGAGACATTGGTTGTCTCATATGAATATTGTCGCCCGCTTACTGGAACTGAAAATGGAGTATTTCAGCGTTAGTTATCGATATGTACTATGGTAGAAATAATTTAATACTCACAGTAGTTGTCTAAACACCAACAAGCGCAAAATCCTATTTGACGCAATAAAAAATTTGGTGATGATACATGCTCCTCCAGCGCTAAAAACGGGCTTTGCTTCATTTCTTGCAACGTTTTCTGGGTTTTGAAACATATTCAACAACAAAAATCACTATTAATCTCTATTTTTTTGTTTTTTTTCGATAAATCTTACCTGTATTGTCACTTTATTCTCACTCGTTTGGGCAAATTTTTCGAGTGCGATTAATGAAAGAAGTTTTACATTCGAATCGATATCTTCATTTAAATTACTAATCAGGTACTTTAACATGGAATTGTTAAGTAATGCAATACTGCTAGGTCCTGCTAATTTTTCTGCTAAACAGCCAAGTATAACACATAAATTTCGTTCTTTGCGTAGGTTATTTTTTAAACCGTATTTTGGTGCAACCATTTCGCCAACTTTCAGCACAGATTCTTTTGTAGGCAGTGGACTGTCATCGAGTAGCAGGGCTATAACACTGGGACCCATGGGATGTTCTACCGGCACCACACGCATTAATGAACGCACTAGTTCAGTCCAACCAGCTGGCTTTTCCGTGATAATGTGTAACATTAATATAGAACTAGGTGGGTTCGGTTCACTAAAGTAGAAAATATTATTTAATATAGTTTGCTTTATGCAGTTGTTGTAGAAGAAAAATACATACTTATCAATCATTGTACTAATCACATCTAATGTCTCGCGTACTAATTTGTCCACGGTATCAGAAAGTGTTTTCAATGTGTCATTTGTCTGCAGTACTTCCGGATTACGGTATGAGTTTCTGAGTGAACCTCTTCCATGTCGTTGTGTACGCCCAACGCCAGCATCATTATTGTCCTCTTCACTTTCGTTTTTATCTTTACACAGACAAGAGCCCATTATATAGAGTGCACGTCTTTACATTCCCATCCATCGAAACATTGAAATAGAAAACGAGTTTAAAAAATGCGACGAAAAAGTTTATTTTTCAATTAATCAAGAAACAAATGCAATAAATCCACAGATGCAAGAAAAACAAAGATTGTTTCGACTACATACTAATCGATAATTAGCTATCGAATTCGATAACTCCCGTTCATTGGAAGGCATTCAAATATCATTATTCCCTCAATTCACCGATTTCCACATTTTTGGTTTTGAATATGTATAATTTTTATGTTTTAAAGAATTTGCGAATCAGCGGATTAAAAGACAGCGGCTACGCTGGCTCGGTCATGTTGTCCGGATGGACGAAAACGCTCCAGCTCTGAAAGTATTAGACGCAGTACCCGCCGGGGGAAGCAGAGGAAGAGGAAGACCTCCACTCCGTTGRAAGGACCAAGTGGAGAAGGACCTGGCTTCACTTGGAATATCTAATTGGCGYCACGTAGCGAAAAGAAGAAACGACTGGCGYGCTRTTGTTAACTCGGCTATAATCGCGTAAGCGGTGTCTACGCCAATCAAGAAGAAGAAGAAGAAAGAATTTGCAACTATTTAAGACCTGTGTACATAAATGTTAGTACTAGTAAAATATTTTATACTTAAAATAAATGATTTTAAGTTTGATATAAAAATTTTTATTATAAATTTTTTAAATTTTTAAAGAATTTCCGGGAATACATAAGTACTTTTCTTTAAGCTAATAAATAAATTGAATAATGGCAGGTTTACTTATATTCAGAATGAATTATTTAACTCTAAGTCTTATTTATTTATTCAAAAAGATAATAACGTGAAAATAAATAATTTATATCACTGAAATTATATTTTAATATTTTTGAATTATTTAATTTCTTTAAAATGTATGAATCGTTAAATCAATGTAAATCAAAAAACCTTAGCTATATTAATAAAACAAATGGCAACATCAATTGCGAACTTTTTCAACACTAGCTCTTCATATCACATATGTCTTCCAATATTCATTTTTGGAATGCAAAGAAATTTTTGGGTGCTCACTTTACATTGAAAAGCACTGTAAAAAAGGCTATCGTATTTGTAATTTGTAGTTATACAAAAATGTACTGGTGAAAAAATAAAGAAAATAAGCCCCACAAGAGCTTAAACTAATACATTTGGTGAAAATTAATATCAGATGATTTAAAAGTTCTATACATTAGCAAACACTTTCCCCAGCAATAGGAACAGTACAAAGCAATTGGGAATAGTTTGCGTTTGTTGCGGCCATATTTGTGAGCTCCGAATTTAGCTTGAGAGTTTGCTTCAAGGGGAGTGCATCTAGTAGAATCCTTCATTGTACAATCTGCGCATGCCAAGCGGTCTAATTTTGTTGGATCGAAAGACTTTACGGTGTTAAGGAGTTAAAAGACTCTGGTTGCAGTATAGTGGAAGTGGCGTTTTTATTATATTAAGGCACCCAGGGCAAGCACCGCCGCTTTTCATTTGTTGCAAGCATAAACGATCCTGTAAGTTGTCAATAATCGGAAAAGTAGTAACAAATAGGAGAAATGTTAATATCATTAGCTTTTGTTAAGAATTTTAGATACATAACACATTGTATATTTAGCCAAGATAAGGTCGTTTCAGGTCAAGAGGAAAGGAACTTATAGGCAGCGTGTCCAATACAATGATATATGGGAACGTTGTTTATTAAGCCTAGTGGTAAAAGTTATGATATTTAAAGAAAAATTTTCCCACTTAGTCGGCTTAAAACAAAAGCGTTCCCACTATAGAATACTAACGTTACAACTACAACCACATATATATTTGGTCATCATAATAAATGCCTATATGTACTTATTGTAACACCTAACAGCTGCAAAGTACTTCATTAGACGAAAAAATATTGTAGTTTATATTTTAAACTATCTCATTTTACTAATCAAGTGGAACAACTACATAACTATTTGATTATTATACAAAGCAGTTATTATTTTTTGAATACGCATATTTATGTAATTTGTGTTAACGCCTAATTTTTAATAGCATATTAAAAACAATGAAAGACCCTGAATTGAAGAGATTTTAAGCACGTGGACACAAATCCTAAATCTTTAGCGGAGTTTGTTCCCTATTCCTTAGCTCAATATGGAATATGAACCTGCTTAAAAAGGATTTTAGCAGCCATCTGCTGTGTTATTTTGGCATAATTTTGGATAAAAATTATACTTCATCATTGCTGGACAGTCCGCCTAATTTATGAGGATTTTCAACTAAAGTCAAAATTGAGAAATATTTTTTTTTAATCTTGAATTTAACTATAAAAATGCTTGATTGTACATATATTCCAAATTTTTGAAAGATAAAATTAAAAATTATATGTCTAGATAAAACGTAAATACGTTTTTGATGGTTATTTGTTTCATGCTATGCTGTTGGAGAGCACTCACTCTAAGAGTGGCTCAAATGGCTGCGCTCTATTGTTAAATAAGAGAGTGACGTGCATTCGTTGAACAATACACGGTGTGATGTGAGTATACCGCACACAAAGTCATGTCACTTTCGCGCGCTGTAGGATCTCTAGAGAGATAACTCGGTTGGTTATCATATTTTATGAAAAAAGTAGAGTAATACTAAACATTATAACTAAATTTTTTTCTTGGAATTATTTCGAAACATAAACGACAATAATATGATTGAGGTACAATATTATGATTATATATTATGTAAGTATATATATACTATATGACGATTAAAGAAGTTGCCCAGAAAATAGAATGTACATTTTCACAGAGATATCAACGCACGCGATTTTGTCGCGGCAGATATAAAATTAATACAAAAGTGTATTACATTAGCATGAGTCATGGCTTACGCTGCAAGGGCTTCTTTTGAGATAGCAGCAAACGCCTTAAAATTATTCAAAAACTATAGTTCTAATTTTCATGGACACGAAACAAAATCATATTGGACACAATAAACACATACACATACATTAGATATTACCGATTGAACTATAATAGCATACCACTAGGCGTATACGTTTTTGTAAGTATTGTACGTTCATCTGTGTGTACATTTGCATGTATATGTGAAGTGTACACACTATTACATTTGCATAACTACTACGTTTTTGGCGGGCATAATTAATTGCTTAGAGTTTATTCTCAATTAATTTACGAATAATTTTTCTAATTTAATAAATTATTGCTTTTTTCTTGAAATAATAAATTATACTATTAAAGAAATAATTATTATATTTTTTTTTTAGAAAGAAATGGATGAACAAGAGGAAGTTCAACAAAATATGATATCAAATTTACCACTATTGTTTGCTAATGGCTATCCAACATCTTTGGAAAAAATAACAGAGTCACAACTTGAAAAATTCATACCATTTATGGTACGATGTTCGCTTGGTCACATAAACTTTCAGGAAAAAACAGACTGCAGCGAACCGGAGTGGTGGCCTGAAGATTTTCCATTCACCATACCATTTACGAAGCCGAAAAAATTTACTGGCGTAATAATAATAATAATATATTATAATAATTTGTATTTTCTTAATTTTTGTGTCTTATATTTGCTGTATAGAATTGGGCGCAAAAAATGAAGGAAATAATCATAATATGCTATCAATTTCATAGAAGCGTTTTTCTGCTTCGCTTCTGCAACGATTTAGCTGCATATGAGCATGCGAGTCTACGCTTTATAAACAACTATAATTCGACAACGTCGCTCTTTGAACGACGTAGCAACAAATTGTTGGTGACATTTAGAAATGAAAATATGGTAAATAAGAGAAGTATACAAGCGTAAAACGGATTTCTATACTTTTATTTTGTACAAATTATTAATGTCAAATATTTTTTTTTTAGTCATACGATCAACCGCAACGCAGTCGAAAATGTTTAATGCGACAGAAGTCAAAAAGTGGCAATCAAGAGCGATCGGATGCCGAACAAATAATGGTCGAACCAGCACCATTCGATATTTATTTATGCGACAATTGCGATGCTGAACTGTATTCAAAAGAAGCTATTTCGGTAAATATATATATTTTATTGTTGTCTATACTATATATCGTCAACTAAAATGCAAAAACACATATTACATTATATTATCAAAAAATTCGATATTTAGTTTTTTTACTAATACGATTACACTACATTATTTACATACCGACATGTACAAGATTTTGTATTAGATACAACAAAGTTATAACCAAAATTAAAATTTTATTTCAATATGAGTATTTAATATCGTTGGTTCTTCATCAGTAAACCTATGAAAAGTTATTTTACGTTATTTTGCATTTTTGGTGACTATATGACTCATCGCCTTTATTGCCTTTTGTTATCAAAACAGCATAGTATTATTATTTTTGTAATAACAGGAAGCAGCTAATTCTTAGCCATTAAATAATTATTCGATTTGATCAAATTTTACCCTGACGTGATCAGGGTCAATCTCGTGGACAATTTTATGGTGAATCACTCCCATCGAACACCTTAATAGTGAAGCCGGTATGCTCCCAGTTAAGGAGCCTTGATGAACTCGTCTCCAAGCAGTTTCTGCTAGGATGCTTTCGCAGAAATCATCCCTTCAGTCTCTTGCTTGGAGCAGAACAACCTCCTAGGATTATTCCTCAACTACGTCGACCAGATTTCGGACGCAACTAACTCCCGCAAGCACTGACTGCCATTCACAGTGTAGCCATCAACACCTTTACCAACTCCCTCTCACTGAATGGCTTACTTGGAGTCAAACCACCACCCATTGCAGACGAAAAGCTAGAGTTGCCGCTAGAAAAGAAGCTTACCCTTGCGCAGCTTCGTTCTTTATACTTTAGCTGATTAAATCCCAATTATTCAGAATAGACCCTGACATTTAAAATATATATCCCTGCTAACAGTACTCATCTGACACCCTTCTTACCGTTGGATGACGTCGACGACAACTTATCTAATCCTTACGATCCTAACGCGGGATAGGTATCCATTACAACAACAACAACAAGACGCCGTTTTCGCAAAATTTTGAAATCTTTTGTTACAAGTCTAGCATTGATACGCTTCATATCCATATCATTAAAAATGTGTTGAGTCGATTAATAAGGAATGTTGCAAGATCCTTTCTTGTCATTGTGATTAAGTGGATTCCCCAAAATACTTCTGCAATATTTTCAACGGTTCCGTAGCCGTTATTACATAGGGAACAAAAAATTTGAAGCAAACTTGTTTTTTTTTTTTTGCATGGTAAAAATCGCCTGCCAAAACTTTCGCGTCATAAACGAATAGCTGGCAAACACGGATTATTTGACATATGGTTCTAAATCTTCACACAAAGAAATTTTACCAATCTGGGAGAATTTTTTTTACCGACTCGGTTTGCCCGTGAGGCCCAAGTCCGGGTCGAATTTGATTAGATGGTAAATCCGATTTCAATCTGATTACGTCGGATGATATCATTCGTCCATTCACCTCTCTAAAACAACTAGATGCCTTCTATGACGAAATACGTTTGTACATATGTATGTACGTAATTATTATTTTTTTTTTCTTTGTTAGAAACTGTATAGAAAGGACATATTTCGAAAAAATTACATAAAATTTTTTTTTTAATATATCAAAATGCTCGTTTTAACTTTTTATACAAAAGCCGATTTTTATACTTTTCACAATAGGAACATGAAAAGACTTGTAATGTGGAGGACGACGATGACGATGTCATTTTATGTGATACACCTGAACCTAGCGAAAACACTGTGCAGTCCACAGATTCTAAACGAAATACAGAGGACAATGAGCTACGTAATGGATTCCTACTTAATTTTAACCTGCAATGCCGTGACGATAACAAAAATGGTAAAGTTCCAAGCAAGAATGAAGCGTTAGGTGCGTCGAAGGAAACTAAAGACGAGAAAAGCGGATTCATGATTATTGATAAGAACAAGCGTATGCCACGACGAAATCGTGCTGTACATTCGTTAGCACGTTGTGCCACAATACCGTTGTCATCGCCTGCTGGACAACTGCTATTGCGTACTACCAAAACTGCCATGACACCAGAATATTTATCGGAGCGACTTGATCGCGTGGAACGTTTCTGTTTTGCGCCCTTACTCTCAAAATCTCAAACGAAACCGAAATATTTTGAGAAAAAGCAAACATTCACCAATACACATTGTACATTTAAAAAGCCACAAGACTATAGTTCGCATGTCTACGTTTTTCCGCGTCGGCAATTCTCACAACGAAGACGTACTGAAAGTTTTCTATTCTTAAATTCTTCACTAATAAGACGCTGCCGTCCAATTTCGGTGCGGCTAAAAAAAATCACCGATAACGAAGTGAAAACTCGACGCTCATTACCAAATACAAAATTAAATATTAAACTAACACGTGATGCTACACGACGTTCCAATTGGAAAATCTCCTCACCATCAACCGAAATCATTGTGGACACAATTGATTTGTGTTCATCGGATGAGGAAGAATGTCGTATAAGGAGTAGCGGCAATTGTAGTAGTAGTAGTGATATTAAGAAAACACATGTTCTACAGAGATATAGCGAACCTGGCCCTAGCATTGAAATAGCACGACAAACGCTAGCAACATTCACCAGCAATAATATCACCACTAAAACCGCCGCGAAAAGTGCACTAACAATTACCAGTGGCAATGGTAAAAAGTTAAGTCTCAAAGAAATTTCATTATTTCCCATACGCAAATCGACGCGTACAAATGGACCGGCTAAAGGACCAGATAAGCCGCCAATACGCGCTACAGCAATTGCCAGCACACGTTTATCTTTGACACACACCTCAAATCTAGCTGTGAATAGTTCCTCGGCAGCCGCCGCAACCCAAGCGCTAACTGCACCGGCCATCAGCGATGAGAGTAAAAAATCTTCCAATATCGACATAAATGCACTACTAAATCCAATACCTACTGCAATATTCGCCACATCAACGGATAATAGTATTTCATTACCAAAACCATTACAACCGTCAGTTTATATATTTTCAAATTATTCCGCTAACGCATTGACCTCAACAGTGCCAACAACAAATAATGATATTACAACAACGAACGCTGGTAATACATTTAGAAACCAAAATCAGGAAAATCATGCACAAAATGGCACCACCACAGCTGCGGGACTTGTTGTCAAACATCAAATAACTAATAATAGTGCAACACCAACACTAACACCCGACTGGTATCCGGAATTGAATGCGTTAGCGACAAGTACCAATACAAATTTAAGCAATACGAAACAAACACACCTGGCGGAACGCGAACGTGCGCGTAGCCTGTCTTTAGTATCGCCAAGTCGTGTTATATCAATTGATCTGACCTCTTAATTTTGTATGCTAATAAGTAACTTTTTATTGCTATTATTACAATAATTAATATGATTACTATAAATTTATACAAAAGCTAGTTTAAATTTATCTATCGCTCACATTAAAATTATTATCAAAAGAGTGTTTCAAGACCTAATCACACACACACACTTTGATAGTTTATATGTACGTACATAAGGCTATATTGTTGAAATGTACCTTGTAGTACATGCTTGCACATTAGGGTGTCCATTATTTCCAAATTGATTTTTTGTGTGTTGCAAGCGCCCCCTGATGTGTCGAAGTTCGTGAACAAATGCTTTATTTTAATTTAAATCATTTATTTTCCCGTGTACGGATATATGATTTCTTTTTTTCGAATTAAAACTTAAAAAAAATTTTGTTCTAGTGCAAATTTTCCGTTTAACAAAAAATGTCTTAATAATTTTTTTTCATAAAACTACTTTAAAAGTTATACGTCAAATGCCCTGCGGCTCAGAACGCAGTAACAAAGGTACACCATGTCGTATGAGAAACACAGCGTTTACATATAAGACGATTGTATGAATGCTCAGCTAGTTTGAAGCAACACTTTAACTGCGTATAACTTTAAGAGTGTGGTTTTAATGAAAATCATCAGACCTTTTTTGTAGAGACATAAATTTTGTATTCAAATATTCACTCTTCAAAGTTGTAGATTGATTCGGTTTAGAAATAAAAACTTTTTTTCAAAATATTAAAAGTTACCATGTCAATTATACGGTAAAAGTAAAACGATTAAAGGCACGGTTTAAATCGGAAATAAAGCACAGCAACCCGTTACGACAACAACAAAAAGAGCTTGTTTGCATTGAATCCTTTCTTAGGACAGAAATCGACACTTCAGTGTTGTTTGCAATACCAAAAAGCAACTTCAGAAATAACGAACACGTTATTGTACATATGTAAAACGAAATTAACTAAGTTTAGTAACAAACACCTTTGTACTTTTACTTAAAACTCATTTATTTATTTTTAGTTTATTATTTATTAATCAATAGCGTTAAAGCATAGGAAAAATATTTAAATAACTTAAAAGACTCGACAGGCTCGGAGGAGTGTAGAAACGATTTTCTGGTTGTAAAAAATTAGTTCTTCTTTTTTTTAATTAAAACACTTGTAATGAAGAATTTATGTTGTTTTTAGTGCTTTCTGGTGTTAACAAATGTATATAAAATTTGCATTGATCTCGATTGATTTAATTTTTTTTATGAATCATTGTTACATGATAGGGTTGTTAACGAAAATTGTGGTAGTTTTTTTTAATATATTGTTGGAAATAAACCAAATTAAGCATATTTTGGAGGTGTTCAACTGCGAACTTATCTTATCAATATGTGTTTGGGAAAAAATATAACAATACATTTTTGAGAAATAAAAATTTAACTAGACTTTTTTGAGAAAAATATAACACATATTCTAAATTTTCGATGTATTACATTTTATTAAAAAACGGCGACGAACTTTGTTTTTCTGTTTTTTTTTGTTCTATTATATGTATATACTTCTATTTTAGAACTGCTTAAAATTGTACCCAAAACCTCATTAAAGCGTCTATAGTATATAGTGGCCTTATCCGCTCAATCAATCGTTTTCGCAAACATCTAAACCAAATAAAATTTTTCCATTGATGCACGTGGCAGTAAAGTTGCATTTGTGGAAAACCTGAAAATACCAAAAACAACATGAAATCTTAACGTTCATATTCTTCTGGCACACTGTTGCATTAGTTTCGCTCTCCATTATAATAATAATTACTATAATAGCTATTAAAAATATTATTTTATACTATTCTGGAATTGTTGATAGGTTTAATGTACCTAATGTAAATATGTACATATATAATAATAGTTTTTCTAAAGCAAAAAATAAACTCATATGATAGCAATATAAAAACAAATTTATCGCCAAATAATCGTATCTACTTTTACAGCCATGAAAATTAGGGTAAAGCTCAAATTCTATATGAAATTAATTGAAATTCAGGCATAATCCTTCAGATGACATTGAAATTTACGTTGTACTCGCAAATAGTCAAACGTACATTCGCGTCGGCATGTAATAAAGAAATTACGTTTTTTATAATATGTATATTATTCTATTTTATTCTCAATAATTTTTAATTTCTAA